CACTTTTCTGAAAAAGTGCACTTGAATTGCCAATTCTGCCAGGGGAGGATTATCATCAGGGTGAAAACAAAGAGGCAAATATAGAGAAACAGTGTCTGTTGTGCTATTGGATACTGTTCACACGCAGTTTCTGATAGCAGACATAGGGTGCTGTGACTCTCTGTTCTTCTCTGCCTAAAACTACATTTTCTCTTCAGTATTTCTTCAGCACCCTCCCTGCAGCCTTGGCAAAGCACACATCAGTGTGGAGCGTGTCGTTAAACAGACTCCAAGTAGTCTGTGTAAGTCAGAATCATCAGCATCAGGAGCCCTGTGCTCTTCTGACATTCAGAACGTGGTGTTACTGGAGCAGAGGATCCCCATCCCACTGGGTTTTCCCTGTGCAGCCAAATCAAGTCCAAGCCCATAGGTGGGCTCAGCCGGCTGCTGGTCCCAGCCCCAAACACAGGCTGTGATGTGACCCTGCATAACAGAGGCTCACACTCATTTCTGCATTACATCAGAGAAACCCCCACACCAGACCAACCTTTTCACAGGGTCAGTTCACTCATGCACTATGGCTCACAAAAACTGGCTTCTAATATACCACTGGAGAGCTGGACAGATAATTGAGACAATTTATAATATTAAAGACATTTTAAAGTGTTATTTTCAAGAACCACATTTAAATGGTATCATTTCTCTAAAGCAATACCTCCTACCCTCGAGTCATATTTGCTAATTCTGCATTTCAACGCATGCCTTTCTCACTAAGTGTTATAATAGTTATGCCCACACATTCTTGAAAGCCCTGTTGAAATTAGGGTTTTGATTAATATTTATCATCAGTGAAGGTGTGAGGTTAATCACAGATGCAGGCAGCTGACATGCAAGTCAAACCATGTTTATTCAACGTAGGTTTATTTGCACTGACAAACTACTTTTGAATGCAAAGGACAAGTCAACCAAACTAAGAACCAATTCAGCACAGGCAGTCCTGTCTAACTATGCCTAAACAGCCACAGGAAGTCAGAATTTTCACTATCTTTCTTACCTTCCACTCTCAGAAATTAGTGCTTTCTTAACTTTTCAGTGAATTTCTCAAATGAGCATGTCAGCTGACAGTGATTATTTCTTGCTTTATTTTTCAGTATATGGATTGTCAGAAAATTATCTTCAAATACCTGCAAGTTCTCAGTCCCCAACCATTAGCTCAGCGGTGAATAGTTCAGACATTTTGAATTCTCTTCTCCGGTTATATTAAGCATATGAAGAAATGCTGCTGACACCCACATGCACAGGAAGAATGCCAGCGATTTGTGTTGAAACTGGTTTTGGTTTTTGCTACTTAGATGTTATTACCAGTGTTAATGCAGCTCCTGATCCTGTATTTAATTTTATTACTTTTACAGTCTGACTACTTTTTATCTTAAAATGCTTCTTATTCCCCCATTGCTGTGAACATCTGTGCATACAAACACTCCTATTAAATACTTTGCAAAATAAACAAAGTAGGAAAAGTACTTAATCCCACCTTTCACTTGCACTTGTCTTAGAAATCTATGAATGTATTTGGTGCACATTTGTATAAGAGAATATTTAGACAACAATATAACTGAAAATTATTGAGGTCCTTTAAATCTCTACTCTCATAAATACGTATGACAAAACACTGTGTAGTTCCTGAGAACACTCCTCAGTACAGCCTGCCTGAGTAAGACCTCCTGGAAAGTACAGATGACGTTCTGAATTCCCAGCTGCAAGAAGCCAAAAGACCATATAAGCATAACCCAAAGGATTCTTATTAAGATTTTTTTTCTTTTAGTTCTTAAGTGGTTGACAAAGTGGTAGTTCCATTCATAAATATGGTATTTCTACTACAATCTAAGAAAATCAAGACTGTAACAGTGATTAATTTTTTTTAATAATCTCTATGCTTAAAGACTTCCGATCTTAATAGGGCAATCGTGCATCTCCGTTGTGTTCCAGCAGAACTATTAGTCTCTGTTCTGTGTTACTCTAATTGCAGTCAATGGTTTACACTACCATAATAGCACTAAATATTTTACTAAATGGAGTACAGTATCTAAAAAGTGATTAAAATTGTTCCAGGACTGAATATTCAAAGATGGAAAAAAACTTCTCTTTTTCTCCGAACTGGGAGTAAAAAAGCTCTCAAAATTTCATTCTTGTTTGTCTTACTAATGAAGTGGATAGAAAGTATTACTAGAAGTAAAGATTAAAAAATACACCATAGAAGAATTTAGTAAAATAAGAAAAACTTCTTGTGATGCTTTGATACTGATTCAGCAGGCTCATGTCAGGCTATCAAAGAACATTGATTTATTATTAATTCATTGTTTTTAATTAGTATTTTTTAAAAAATTAAAAATAATGTATTATTTTTCAGAATTCCTGACTGTTTAATAAAACAAAATGTTGCATATCCTGAGAAATATCTAAAATAGCTCCAGAGCAGCAAGGCCAGTGGGGCAGCAAGCAGCCCATCTTTCCCAAGAAGCCACCGCCCAGCCCACACCACCTTTGTAATGGCCACAGCCGCAAGCTTATGTGCACTGACTAGTTGTGCACCAAGCACCTAAGATCCTTTACATATTCTGAATGCTCTCTCACAAAAATAACTAAATGAAATAAGTCAGACTACACAATTGAGGAAGGACTACTAATCCAAGTAAGAATTTGCTAAATCTTGATATTATCATGCAGTGGTAACCCTAACTGCACCCCATAACATAGTGCCTTGTCACTTTGGACACAAAGCCAGACTCATCTAACTCCAGAAACAGCCCTGAATTTACCACTAGGATTGTTCAGATATTCTAATTATGCCACAGAGCTCCAGAAAGCTAATTTAAGAAATTATTCTATATATTCCTTTATTACTTACAGAATATTTGGAACAGCTCATAATTCCTTGATCTAGGGACTGCCAAGATCTATGGTCACTTCTTGCCTGGACAAAGAAACCTATTCTTTTAGAACAGGTTTGTCATTTAATTCTCACAAGAGTAATTTGAACAAAATAATTGAAGGCAAAATACCTTAAATAATGAATTAACAATTTGTGTACTAGATAGTTTTTGAGCATGTATAAAGGTGCCAGGAAGAAGAATGGTTCATTGCTCACACAGCAAGGGAGAAGCCTCAAAGATGGTGCTTCCTCCTGCTGACACTGAACAGGGCTAAACGTGAGCCCTGCCCAGGCACAGGAGCATCTCTCCAGCAGCAAACATCCCAACAGAGGACAATATCCCTGCTAGGATAAAAATAATAATAAAAAAAATAATATAGAAGGGTTTGATAAGGGAAAACTTTACTTAAACAAAATTGCATCCATGAAATACCATTTTTTGTTCGAGAACCATAAAGTTTTAATCTGGTCTTTTGTTCCCATTAGGAAAAATACTTTTAAAAACCTGGAGATCTCTGAAAGGATTTATTTTTGCAATATACAGACCTAACCTATTACTCTTAAATAATTACCTTGTGTAAAATTCTAATTTCATGGAGAAATTTAATTTTAATTTACAGCTTAATTGTCCTACTTTAGGAAAGCTCGTCACCTGTGTCACTTTGTGACTAATAATTGTAATCCTCATTTAATTATTTACTTCAAGGGAGCATTTTAATTATGGATATTACTGTATCTAAAGTAACTTACACTTGAGGTTAGTGAAAATTTGCATAGTAGACTGCTCACCTATACTTCCAACAGCTATAGCTCTCCTTGCACATGTTCTGCTGCAGAAACTACTCTTGAGACTGCAGAGCAATGGTATTTTGTTCCTCACTGACAGCTGTCTCATTGTACATGTTCTTCTGTCCCATTTTCAAAGCAGACTTTCAAATCCACATCCCAGGAAATCAGGTCAGGTGAAGTTTTTCCAACATAGAACAGAAATTAAAATACACAGATGTTTTGTATGCTCCCAGCAACTCATATGCCTCCCACCCTCTCTCTCCACAACTTTGTTTGCAGGTAGACAAAAGAGAGGTCTTGCAGGGCTTGCCAGCCCTTCCCAAAGCTCTGACAGCATGCACATAGCCAAGGTGCTCCTCCTTGCACCCACAGCCCAGCCCATCACCTTGGCTAGAGAAGTCACAGCCAGGATGCCAGAGATCAACATTAGTGGTAAGTGCAATGTACCCAGTTGAAATATACATGACAAGATAATAAATTCTCAGCTCTAAGATAGACTCTGCAAATAATCTTTGGATTTAGGGTCAGCCATACAGCAGTTGCTCCACAGGGAGGACAACAGAGCAACCGGTCTCTGTAGTGGTCAGTAACAGAGGCCAAGGAGCCAGGAAAGATGCATAGTAGACACTTTCTTCTGGTTTATTTCACCAAATTTGAACAATAAGTCTTCTGAGCTGAGGGCTGTATGTCAGCTTTAATAGCCATCAGTTAACCAACCTTTCACAAATTTATGTCTTTGCAATCCCTTATAGCTATCTCCACCTTCTAATCTACTGCATTAAAAACATATATATAGTTTTTGCTTTGTGTTTGCTTTAAATCTGCCAAATCGGTGAGTTGGTCTGCTATCACAAGGTCATCTTTCCAGTAGTTTTAACTTCCAAAGCAGTCATTTCATCATCACATGTGCTGGACTTTGCAGCTTTCCTGCAGTGCACCATGCAATATTTCTTCTTTCCCCTACTTAAAAGAACGGCCACAGCTGCCTTTAACCTACGATTCTTGTCTACTGCTCCACAGAGCATCCCAGGCTTGGCCATGCTCCCTAACAAGTGAGAGTGCTCAACATCTTTCAGCACTGAGGATATCAAGTTTCCCATCTGAAATCGCTTACTTCATCACTCTCTAAGGGCACAGTTTGGAAGTCATTAAAAATAACGAGAATGCTGGCACTTCTCCCAGTAATAATGGCATTGAATTTGGTGTTACTTTTCTACTTTAAGACATTTGTATACATCCACAGATCATTTAACTCTTATCTTTGTACTAGCTTTAGTGAAACTAATAGCTGCTGAAACAATGAGATCTCTATTCTAATTTTTATTTAAATAAGTGTCTGCCCACTCCATTACATGACATAAAAACTTACACAGCATATTGCACCACAATATTGCCCCAAAGTGTTTACCAAGATCACCATATCCATCACTAAAATGCAAGCGCTTCTCAGTCAATAAACACTTCAACTGACAATAAAGTCACAGGAGAGTTTACAGAAGGAAAACTGAAAAGCAACAAATCCAATTTGTCCAAAACAAATTTAGAACCAGTACTGCTGGTAGATTCTCAAAGGGTCTTGTATTTTCCTTTCTATTTGTATCTATTGTAGATTTTTTCCTCCTAGCCCCATGCAAAGGGACTGACTCCTTATCAACTTGCTGTGTGCCTCATCATCACTCCTGTAGAGTCCATATTTTACAGGCTTTGACAAAATAATGAACCCTCAATAATGTGCTGCAGGCCATCACAGAAAGCAGCTGTAAAGCATTTCAATAATCCCCTCAAAAGAGAAAACACCAGTTGTTGCAAAACACACATTATAACTTTACAAGTCTCACACTTATTTTCAGCTAACATAAACATAAACTTTCTCACTGCTACATTTTTCCTGATAAGAACAAGTCTAAATTGCATACTTTGAAATAAGCAACAGTACTATCAACCTGAAAAAACACCATCTTCCTTCAGTACATACCTTTTATTACTCTAAGCATGTACTTACACTGCACATGAAAAAGCGGTAGACAGATTCAGAAGTCACAGATCCACTGCTGCTAAGCTGTGAAACTGAGAGATTTCAGCTCCCAAGAACTGATCCCAGTGTATGCAGTAACACAGGCATTTCAGCATCATCTGCTCACAAATAAGATACCTCTGAGATGCACAGGGTGTGAGCACCAGGAATTCTGGAAGTCCATCACGCTATCAGAAGTCCAGGAGCCATGGGCTGCTGCTGAAAGCCACATCCTCCTCTCAAAATCAGTAGGCTCAGTATGGCTTAACTCACTAGTATATCTAGATGGGAGCAGGAAGCCAGCAGGCGGATATGGGTCAAATACTAATTCAACCAACAACAAAACAACAAGTATTAGATTTATCAGAAAGCTTGCTGAATGCTTTGTAAAGTTAACTTTTATAGTTTTGATGTTGAGATCAGCATATGTGAATATCTGAAGAGGAATATTACCATTACATACAACAGAATAATTAAAATCTTGCAAAAATTAATCTAAAAGCCTTCTTGATTAAGGAAATGAGCCCCTCAGTTATTTAAATAACCATTTTTAAGGCTGTTAAATGTTTAATACCTTTGCAAGGAATTTTCTTTGCATTTATTTTTAAGCAGAGGACAAAGTCTGTTTGGGAAGCACACTGCTAATATTCCCATTGGTCTGTGCAGCATCTTTTGTCAAAGAACATTTGGGAGTCTGTTACAAAGGCTTACAAAGCCAGAAAAAAAAAGAAAAAAAAAATCATTCCTAAAATGGCAAATGACAACATACTAGATTAATGATTAACTTTAAAAATACCAACTAATGATAAACATCCACAGTCCTGCTGGATCCAGCCATGCTGTTAATGCAACATGTGGAAATTTTCAGTCATCCTGAGTGGTCAAATAATCGTCTAACAGTTGATTAGAGGACAATTAGGGACAGCAAGAATGAATTAAATCATTACAATTCGAATTGATTAAAATAGGCATATACCATCTGAATATTTGGGGAAGTTCTATTATATTTTCACTCACAGTAAACGATGAAAAGAGGAAAATAGTTGTCAGATGCCTAAAGCTTGCCTGTGGCTCATTATCCAATTAACTGGTATCAGTAAGTTGGTTAAATCGAGCTAAATGACAGCTAGTTGCTCCACAAACATTAGAAGTATAGCAGAGTAGGAGACTTTCAGATAATTAAATCTGCACAGAGGTCATTCCTTTTGAACTTTAGAAGCACATTAAAAGACATTTGTATTTGTATCTTCCAAATAGAAGATGACAAAAAAAAAAAAAAAGGATGATAAGTAATTCATAGTTAGAATCTCATTCACAAGCTTACGGGTGTCGTAACAGCAGTGGAGTATTTCACAGTAAGAGCAAGCTAGCATTGTGTAGAGACCCTCTTCTGTGAAGTGAATGAAACTGGAGCTTCCTATTATCTCATATTTGCCCCCACTCCTATCACGTTGTTTTGGTTTGGGATTGTTTGATTGCTTTTTTTGTTTTTGGCTTTTTGTTGCTGTATTTTTTTGTGATTTTTTGTTTGGTTTTGTTTATTTTTGCTTTGTGAGTTGTTTGCTTTTTGGTTTGGTTTTTATTAGAAATTCAACACTAAGTAACGTAGCAAAAAATCCTCCGTTTTGTTTTGATATAAGCTTTGATGTTGACTGAACTGCAGTTTTTAAGTTTGCTCTTAGGAAAAAAGATAATGTAAATGCTCTAACTACATGCCTAAGTGTGAGCCCTGCTGTAACGGAGAAAACTTGTGCGTAAGTTGTACAGAAACTTCCTTTACATGAATAGGGCACAGCTCTTCCTACAGCTGAGGTCACACCCTTTTTCTTCTTAGTGATGGTTTATTTTCAGTCTGCCAACACAGCCAAAGCAGCCCAGGTAGACAGCACTAACAGATGAGACTTTGCTATCCATCCCTCCATCCCTCCTTTTGGTCTGCTTTTCATTGCTTTACAGCTGAATCAACATGAGAACCGTGCCCAAGACAGAGTTCTGTGTCAAACAATCTCTGGCACTTTGTAGACCTGCTGATGGCTTTCATCAAGCTGATCCCGAACTGTGGCAGCCCAGAAGACACAGCTAACAATGAGTATTGTCACAAGGACAAGGTGCGTGGAGAATAACAGCATCTCTCCAAAATTCAATGATGCCAAGGCTGTCCTGGGAACAGAGAAAAGGGTGAAAATGGCCTTAAAAACATAAGAAGTATAATTATGATCAAATTCATATTCCCACACACATTAGGAAAAGAACGTAAAGGAGTATTTAATCTCAAAACAGGTCCTTCCTCTCTCCTGTCAAATCCTTTCAAACACTTCATGTGCAGTTCTTATAAATACAGATATTCAACTGTAGTAAGAACTGTGTTCTTTCTGTTTCCAAAGCCACTCATTCACACACCAAAATATTCCACACCTGTAGAAAAAAGCAAGCGTTTGACTTCATATCCAACTGTTTGCTAGGAAAGTACTCAGCCCTGAAGATATTTTCTGACAATTAGTTCAGACGCTTTGCACAATTTAATCTGAAGTTTTAACTCTGATTTTGCAATTAAACACAGTGTACTCCTGCAGTTGTAATTTATCACTCTGCTTCCACGTCAAGTAATCTGACCAACAAAACTGTCTGGTACCTAGGAATGGAGAAACGAAAAGGACAATGTTCTGCAGGAAAGCAGGTCTATCTAACATTTTACGATGCTAAAAATACCGCTGGGACTTGTTCTGATATCTTGTAATTACGCACACATATCCTGATTTATGGTGCATGTCTCCCAGCTCAAGGAAGTATGCACTCTGCCTCACATCTTGCCCTATTTACAAGTAAAATACTTGATTCTGTAATGTCGTAAAAGAGAGGACAGGCCTCATTGCACATGTTACTATCGACTTCATATGAACATAGAGCATAATCTAATGATGCTTTTCATGTGAGGATAAATATGCACAATTTAGCCTTAAACAGAGTCAGCATCTGATCATTGCAACTGCTGCCTTTGTGAAACATGGCTGCAATGCTGAAGACCCCTTCCCTCGTAAAGCTAGTGGAGAGTGTGAGAGAGGAGATGGAGGCAGCCAGTAAAAACACAGAAATGGTTATCACCTGTGTATCAAGAAACACACTTCTTCAGGCAAAGTCTGAGAATTCATCTCACTACTCCAACCCCCCCCCTCCCCCCCCCCCAGCTCCACATCACCTGCTTTCCTGCTAGGCAGCAATGAACAAAGCAAACAGTCTATACTGCCTGAATGAAGACTGACAAAGTGGTTGACAGCAAAATATTTCAGTTGTAAGTATTACCAAAAACATCTTAACCAACAGTTATACACTGTTTCAAAAGAGATGGGTGGTCTGGCTTAGGCTTAGAGGTCCAATCTGCATTCCCCAGCTTGATCTGCAGGCCTCTCATGGCGAAAATCTTCACTATGCAAGGAGATAGAAAGCAGAATAGGTTCATAAAGAGTGCTTTGATAGTTGAGGCATTAATTTTTGTTTGTTTGTTTTTTTGTGGGGTAGGTTTTGGGGGGATTTTATCGTTGTTTTTTGTTTTTGGTGGGGGGGGGGGGAGGACAGGGAACAATCTAATTTAATTTGTATACTTTTCACATTTTAAGCATTTTTGAGAGAATGAGAATTGGAGTCCTAGCATCCACATCTTTCTTCAAATACAATCCAACATCTTAATGACAATCAATACCTTCCTCCCTCTATAAGTGAGCTCCCTGATTATTCCTAATCTTGATGAATGGCAAACTGAACACCAGGTTGGGTGAAGGACATTGCCTCTGCTGCCAGTGTTTTGCTGAACTGGATGCAGAAAAGCAGGAGTGGGGATTCTTGTTTCTAATTATCTTACTTTTACTAGACCATAAAGTTTCCATCACCAGTTTGTTGACAAAAATTTATAACTCAGGAAGAGAATAAATTAAAAATTATAATGAGAGGAAAGGGGGGGGGGAGGGAAGGTGTCAATATTCATAAAAGCAGATAAGACAAATTCTTTGGTTTCACTGCAATTTTCTTACAAGATTACTATCAGGAGAAATTAAGAAAAAATCTTGAACTATGTGTTTGCATGAAGGCAAGGAGATGCTGCAGCTACCTACCAAGGTTTTTAATACTCAGTACTCACTACTCATAATGGTCATTATTTGGCATAAAGGATCGCAGTTACTTGCTTTTCTCTCCTTCACACACTGCACACCTGGCAGCCCCTCACAGAAAGTAGTGCCAGGAGGGTACAACAAGGACCAGAATATTCAGGGATGCAGTTGATATACCCTCTCTGTGCAAATGCCATAAGCCTTGGGGATGGAGGACTGATGCTTTTCTAGCTTTCGTGCAACATTTTCTTTGGGGGCATGCATGTTTCTGGCCACTGTACAGGAGCTAGTGTTTAAAAACTTGTTTCATTGTGGGTTTTCTGGAAGCATTTTGTGTGACGAGAAGCATCATACATTGGCATAAGCATAATATTAAACTAAAAAAAAAACAGTTTTCAACAGTAAGGCAAAGTCTTCTTGAGCTAACTCAGGCATCCCTACATGACATGGCACTGGGCCACACAGTCAAGCCAATCTTGGAATCTTTCTAAGAAACAAGCAAGAGTACCTACAGGGCAGCTCACCTTTCCTAAGCAGCAGAAGCATGTGCTTAGTCTGACATCCTGTAGCTTCACAGTGCCCATGCTGTGCCATAACCATGCGTGCTCATGTGCCATCTGCCCCGAGGAAAGACAGTAGAGAGAAAAGTGCCTTTGAGTTCGGCTCTTAACAGTCTTAACCAATGCAGCTTTTACCTTAAAAGCAAAATCCCACCAATGCAGCTTTTACCTTAAAAGCACTATCCCATCAGGAGACCGTCCCAACAGTTCTCCCAGAACTAGAGCAAACCTTCCTCCTGTCCAAACCTGTTCTCCAGAACCTGCAGGCGAACAGCTGCTGCCAAGAGGAAATATAAGGCTGAAGTTCAGCGATAGCTTCCACACCTTTATAAGTCCTGTGAATCAAGGGAACCTTTTTGATCTTTGCCTCTGGGAGAGTGCACCTATGCAACACCATAGGGATCCTCTGAATTTTCATTTGTAGACAAGAGCTCTATGTTTTTTAATATACTGTTTACACAGAATAACAGAATGGCAAGGGTTGGAAGGGACCTCAAGGATCATGAATATCCAAACCCTCTGCCATATGCAGGGCCACCAACTTCCCCATTTAATGCTAAACCAGACTGCCCAGGGACCTATCCAACCTGGCCTTGAACACTTCCAAGGACGGGGCACCCACAACCTGTCTGGGCAGCCTGTTCCAGTACCTCACCACTCTCTGGATAAAGAATTTCCCACCTAAATCTACCCTCCCTCAACTTGAAACCATTTCCCCTCAGCCTACACATATCAACCCTTTCAAAGAGTTGATTCCCCTGCCCTCTGTAGGCTCCCTTTAGGTATTGAAAGGCTGCAATGAGGTCACCCTGCAGCCTTCTTTTCTCCCGGTTGAACAAGCCCAGCTCCCTCAGCCTGTCCTCATAGGGGAGGTGCTCCAGTCCCCTGATCATCCTAGTGGCCCTCCTCTGGACCCTCTCCAACAGCTCCCTATCTTTTTTGTACTGCGAGCTCCACACTTGGATGCAGTATTCCAGACAGGGCCTCACAAGAGCAGAGTAGAGGGGGACAAACACCTCCCTGTCCCTGCTGGCCACACCTCTTTTGATGGACCCCAGGATACCATTTGCCCTCCAAGAGTTTAGATTAGATGAGGTTTGATACTGCTTCTAGTAGAAGCATTTCTGTTTAATTATTTTTATTTATTCTTTCTTTAAATTGAACGCATTCAGTCTCACTGATGAATGCTGCCTGTCACAGAAATGATTGTTCATGTAGATTATTTAGGATCTGCTATTTGCATACCTGAAAACCTACCTACGGAAAAAGAAAAGTGGAAGTGATATTAAGCAACGTGAACGTCTTATAGAGTTAGTAAGTTAAGAATAAGTGAAGAAGGCTTCTATAGTAAATTGAAGAGAAAAAATTAGCCATCACTGTGTTAAAAGCTATCATTTCTCCAGGGATATTTTACAGGTAGTCAAAATAACAGAAGCCTGATTCAGAAAACCAGGAATGGTATGGCGTTACTGCTTTCTGGCCTATTGGAGCTACAGGGATACTGAACATCACAAAGAACCGGGACCTAATATGGAAACCATGGACAAAAGAGAGAGGGACGGACATAAGAGAGCCATTTATAGTCTCAACAACCCAAAACTGTCAGGAGTCTGCCATTTTTAGTTTGCAAGATATAGCACATATTTAGCATCTCAAAAGTCTGAATTTTGCAATAAGCACCAGACTCAAAACTTAATGTGCAGAGCATATAGTCTCTTTTTAACATGCTCAATGACATAGCACTTGATTGAATAAGAGGAGCCATTTAGACTTTACATATTGAGCAATGGCTCATCTACAAAATGTCAGAGTATAGAAAAGCAAAAGAACACATTACAAAAGAATATCCAGTCCTTCAGATAAGGCTTAAAAGTACTACATAATATATCCAGGATTAATAACATATTAATAGCTGTGCAAACTCATACCATTCCCATTTCAATAGTTCGAGCCAAATAGGGAATGCATCTGACGTTATCTTTTTGTAATTCTACATTTTAACAGTTACATTGTATCAGGTCAAGCAGAACCCAAGACACTTTATTTCAACCTTATTTCAATGGTGAGAGCTGCAATTTGAATAGGAAGCGAGTAGTACTGTTCTCCATATTTTAAACTATTTTAATAGTTTAAGTAAATGAAAGTTATTGAAACCAGTTTCAAGAAATGAACTTAAATCATGCAGAAATGGGCTGTTTCAATAAGGAATAAGATCAGCAGCACAGCAGTGTATTACAATAAAGAGTAAGAATATGCCAAATCAGAGCAAGATTCAAAACTCCAGTACATTTCAGGCAGTTCTCCAGTAATGTATGTTTCCACTCAGAATATACCTGTTGCACACAAAAGAGAAAATGAAATGCTAATCTGCACAATAATTCAGCTTCATGGGAACAGAGAACTAACAAGAGTTTCAGTCCAGTACTACACAGCAAGCACTGGGCCAAAACTAGACGAAGCAGGACACAAATGGACTAGGTAGGTGTCAGCACAGGTGAGAGCTCTTACCTCCCCTCTCTACCATAGGGTCAGCGCTCCATGAAGCATCACCACTGCAGGAAAAACATCTTTGAGAAATTCCAGCACCAGAGGTTACATGCTGGTGCCTCAAAGCATGTTTCTAAGAGCACCCTCTCATTATGTTTCTTTTTATAGACACAGACTCATGAAGGAAAGACCTTGCTGACTGCAGCAGTTTTCTCTGCTGATATGTGCTATTGGCATAGAGCTGACAAATTTATATTAAATAATAGAATGCTTAAGCTATCTTCACTTAAACACAAAACCGTACACATACTCTACTCTCAGTGAAGAGAATAAGAAAATAAAACCATATATAACATCATCTTTTTTTAGCTGCAACAAAAGCAATGTAGTCAGTTGTTGCCTAGAGCTCCCAGTCCAACAAGCTGGTTCATTCTTACAGGGGAGAAATGGAAACAGTTGAGTAAACCAAGTTCTGTTCAGCCAAGCTAATGTGCCCCCTGCTAAGAGCCGTGCAAGGACATCCAGCATTCCCAGACCAGTGCCCACAACCAGCACCACACAGCAGAAGCTTGCTGCAAAACTACTGAAGATCACATGCCCATAGAACACAACAGCTACACATCCATCCGATTTAGGCTCTAGGTACCCATATTTCATATTTTAAACTGTAACCTTAAACCTCAGAACACTCATCAACCAGCTCTGGAGATGCTAAAATTTTCCTCGTGAAAGTGGGGTAGACCCCAAAATTTCCACATGCAGCCCAATGCCAAGAAATATTTCATCTCCAGAGGTCTGAGAAACTCACATTTTTGCAAGGCCTAAGTGTCATTAGGATTTTCTCCCACCTACATCTTGCTTAAAAAGGTTGGCCTCACAGATGTGTTCGAAATATATTTTTACCTAGACAGGTTTCACATAAAAAGGCAGCAATAAAAATTCTCTTCAGAATTGATTGTTACCATCACTGTGGCAAGGGCAGTAGATCTTGTACTACAAGCAGCTCTTCTCAACTACTATGTGCAGAAACCAGGTGTCTTTTTCAGCAATATGGAATGAATCTATCAGGTGAGCCAAGAACACAAAGACCAGACTTGGCAATTGTTCACGTTTTGGCTGCAAAGTCCCCTTACAAATCTGTGTGCAACTTGACTGGCAGCTCATTTAGTGTCTGGAGTAAAGAAAAAAGGAACAATTACGCTATCTCAAATCATCATTATTGTTTCAATGATTGCATTAGCATTCTCCAAGCATAAACGCTCCACAAAACATTTGAGGCAGACATCTAATGATGGATTTTCCCAACAGAGAAAGCAATTCCTCTAAGCAATAAAACAGTCTGTGAGAAATCCTGCAGTCATAAATCTAGTATTTCTCATTACAAAATTTACATCAGCCACAAAGTGATTACTTCTAAAATTACAAAACCTTGTGGGCAGCAATATTAGTGGGTTACCAATTGCCATCTCATGACTCATGAGAAAAAGTCAAAGTCATAATAGTCTTGTAAAAAACAAAATATCAAAATAATTAATTGTCTTACTATAGACAAAGTTTAGGGCACCCTCAGAACACCCAGCTCTTGAAGCACCAAGACCAGCAGTAATTCCCCACAGAAACTCATAGAAATTACAAAGGAAGGTCTGAGCAGCACAGCCATCACAGCTTCCCACACACACCCCCACACGCATCCAGCATTTCCCACCCAGAAGCAAGGAGCCTGTAACATGGAAAGATGGAGACAAGAATAAGGGACATATTCACAGCCCCCTCTCCTACAGAAAGTGAGCCGTAGTTCATTGCCCAGAGAAGGGCAGCAGCTAACCCAATTGGCCACCATTTACTAAATGTAATGAGAAATTAAACTGTTTAACTCATCTAGATTTACTCTTCACATGCCTTAGGAAGCTTCGTTAGCTTAACTGCAGAGAAAGCAGAGAAGAAGAGCAAGTGGATACCAGCATTTCTGTGATTAGAAAATGATCCACCAGTTACCAAACACATAAACACAACCCTGCAGCACAGGAAACAGGAACAGACTTTGGCTTTCTTGTGGACTTAAAATTTAAGTAATAGAGAAGGTAACCTTCAAGAAGTAATGGCCGCTTTAAGGGCTTAAATAGGAAAGGAGAGAAAAGTTTCTTTGCTCCCCGGATGTGAACTTTCAGGAAGTAGAAAGGAAGGAGGGACTGAATGCAGGCACTGCCCCACACAGATGCATTGTGACTGTTCTTTCTCTCACCTGAGGCACGCACAACATCTGGCTTTTCTGCTCAAGAAGAGCCCTTTTTGTTGTCGTTTTAAAAAGGTAATAATACATCTGTAGATCAAAAGCATTATCCTGGTTAGTTCTGGTTTCTCTACAAAAGCAGTTGCACCCTGAGGTGGCCAGGCCCACACACACGCACCTCACATTCATTGCTGGGGGACTCCCCCAGAAACCTGGTATCAGAACAAGGGACAAGCACATAGCCAGAAGATTAATCTTGTCTAAATACAGTGGTGGGCAAGACATCACTGCAGAGCTCTGGCACCTTTCTCACTACTGTATGCAGCCATTTGGCAGCCAG